ATATAATAAAGTGTCAGTAGCTTCACTTTAACATCTTTCGCTCCAAGTTAGATTAGGGTATCTGGTTGATACAGATAGCGCCAGCAGGCTGCGCCACTAGGGCGTATGTCGGGTCTCGATGCGTAGCCACCTCCACGTGGTGAGACCTGGTAATTGGTATCGTTTCCCAAGGAATAATCTTTGGCATACAATACCAAGCTAAGAGCTACGCACAAAGTTTAAGATATGTCTAAATTACCACTAATACTATGAAAATGGCACAACTACTTGAAGGTTAAAATAAAAATTTATAAACACTAGCGACGACAATCAGAATAGATTTTGTGCTGTATAGATATATCTCTAGCAAAGGAAAATTGATTACCACAATATTAATCAGTTCATCCTCAATGTACCAGTAACAACACCTTTTATGAATCATCAAATCAAGACACTTAGTCCAATTCTGTTCGACTTTCAAACAATATACAGCTTCATAATGGTAGCCAGTGAAGTGCAAGTCAATGATCAATTCAAGTGCCCAACAATAGCTCGCAACTCGAAGACACGTAGCTATCTTGTGTCAAAGGATTGATCATTTTGAGAAAGAACACGAGATTCCTAAAGGATAAGAACATTGTTCCTGGAGGTTCTAACAATTGGAGGTTCTGATCAGGCAGTAGCAAAAGCGAGGACGCCTTTTGATAAAAGGACTATCTGGAACAGCATAGTACTTACCTCAGAACTGCACCAGAGACGTATGCTTGAGCAATTTGGCCACGAAGTGTATATAATCGATTGAAGTGATATTGTGCGCTCGTAAATTAAAGCTCTTAGCGAGAGCACCCATTGATCTGGTCGCACCTTAGGTCATACGTGTATTGCATGCATCCAGGCACTCTGAAAAGAGCCTAGAAAGGTCCCAAGAGAAATATCTTGAACTATTTTCGAGACGACATCGTACAATTCTGATGAGTCTTAAATTTCTCAGATCTTCTCGAATTTTTATTTCAGCGACTGAGATGCTACACTGAGATGCTATACTGTGCACAGTTGAGATGATGAAAAGCTACCGGAACGTGGATAAGTGAGAGAGTGAAAGTGCTGATAAATGGATAAAATAAGTGGGAAAAAATTCATTTCCTTTTCTGAAAATATTTTTACATTTTATTGGAGATATAAAATAAATAATTGCAACAATATTTTTAATTATAATTTAATAAATGAGTATTTTATTTCCGAAGAAATTTAATTTTCAAGGTATAGTTGAAGTATAGTTAGATAAAAATAATTCATTCGTTAAAATTTTATAAATTGCAATGTTTAGGATTGTTTCTTCTTCGTGTCTACGAGTGTTAGCTTTGTCCGACGGAATATTAGTTTAAATAATTGAAGAATAGTGAAAATTAATAAACGAAGTGAAATTATTATAATAAATATCACGTCCAGCAATAAATATTGATACCACGTTAGATCTGTCGCTGCTGTCTTCAAAGAATTTGCTCCATGACGTATCAAATACTCTACCCAATAAACTCCTTCCTCTAAGGGTGGTACTAGTCGATCTCTGAACTCCGCGGAAACTTTTCGTGCCATGTCTATGTAGCTGCGAATTATACGATACATATAATTATTTTTCACTCCATATTTGAGATAATATAACTTTTTAAAAGAATTTTTTAAACGTTTAAATGCTACTTTAAAATTAATATTTTTTATAATTTCTTTTACAATTTCGTTATATCTTAAAATTTCATCTAAAAATTGTTATTCTCAAATTTTCTTATGATATTTATAGATTAGTAGATTAGATAAATTTTGATGTATTAAATATGAAATTAAATTCAATTTTGTCAAAATTATAGAGATATTAAATATAGATGTTACGTATTTAAATAGTGTAAAAGTATATTTAATAATTATTCGATAATTATTTCGCGAAAATTTGGAGAATTTATTGTATTTCATAGTTGAATCTGATTTTAAAGGTACGTTTTATGATATCGTTTGCAGTATACAAATTTTCTGCCTCAGCTGCTAACGTAGGCTCTCATTTTATTCTGCAGCTCTTCGTAAAACTTGGTGTTTAGCTATGAGCTGCAGATTTTCCTATCTCGATTTTCTGCGTACAGTATTTTAGCCCGGTTTACAATATACGTATGTAAATTTCACCTGTTAACCACGCGCTACTTAAAAACTGTGTATTATTTAATACGTTTCCATTAAAGTCAATTGAATTTAATATTTACATTTTAATAGCTTAAAATCCGTTCCTTTTAATCTCACGGATTTTCAAATAAATTTTCAAAAATTTGTTCACTTTGAAAGCAAGTAGATCAGAATCTTGTTTCGAAATCCTTTCCACCATTTATTTCATATTAATAATATTTTATTTCTTAATAATAATGAAATCAGCTAACTTAATAATAATGAATGCAACTAATCAATAAGAAATAAATTACATTGTTCATCATATACAATGCAGATAAATAAAATTATTTTTAGGAAAGTAGCAAAAGATTGTTTCCAGCTTTGTTGTAATTCATTTTATAAAATTTATAATATATCTGAAGCACGAAATATTTATATTTCGAAGCAAAACGTATGTGACTTAGGCCACTATAGTACCAACTGTTAATTCGATTAATATTTCGAAAATTTAATAATTTTCGATGATAAAATTTTTAATTTGGAGCCTTCATGACCCCTCTTCCCTCGCAAAATTTTATATCGATCATCTACTATTAAAGAAGAATATCCCTAAATTATGCTACATATTTTATCACAATTTTTAATCTTACAAAAGGACTCGTTGAACATTCTAGTCAAGTCGAATGAAAATTTCTTTAAACCCCTTTTAACAGTCTGTATAAGTTCTCCATATAGTAAATTCACTTTCCTTGCATCGTACTCTTCATTAGAAACATTCAGACACGTCCACCCAAAACCGTGGGTGGTCTTCTTGGATCCTTGGTTCACGCGACTCTCTCAAGTACTCGGTCCAAACACTCTTCTTTCACATCTCTAACACTTTAACCTGAGTATCCTTCTTTCACACTTCTATCCTTCGACCAAACATTCGTCTTATTCACTCAGCATAAATACCAAGTCGACAAAGTCTTCCTGAGAAGTACAACAAATTAAATTTACATAATTATTTTTATCTACTTGGCATCTTTAATATATATCAGACAGTTTGATCCCAAATTTTTTGGACACCCTGTATACACTCAGAAACATAATTTATACAGTCAACGACACAGTAACGAGAAAACACTCGATACGATTACCCATAAGGCCCCTGCGTAGCAATTCAAAGGCAGCTCACTCTAGCCTATTTGAGTGTTGATGAACAACTTTTAGTGAATAAATATATACTATCACTTCGACTGTATACTAAAAGATAGTACAAAAAAGAAAATAAGAAAAAGAGCAAGATAAAAAAATAAAATACCACATTTTGTCTAAATTAACACTTTGCAGTACAGTGACAAGTCTAGTTCGTCACCTATTCTTCATGTGGAATCTCACGATTATAAGCTACACTTATCCCGTCACCATAAGTGTATTTAACATGTTTAAACATGCATAAAGTTCGAAGAATTTGTAAAATTTTGATCCATTCTTATCACAAATGGAATAAACGTTGTTATCGCGGTCGACGAGTGCCGCCCGTGCTAACTGATTTCGAGCCGGGTGATGTGTCGCGAACCGACACGACTGGAACGCTAAGTCAGCGAAAGTTGGTGATTTTGTCCTGTGATTGAACCCCCGTGCCCCCCTCAAGTACTTATACCTCGTCGAGGTGAGGGGGCTCGATTGCGCAATCGTCAAATAAGCCGTTCCTACGTGTTCCTTAGTGCGCGTTTCTATACGCTTCCTAATTATATCGTGCTCGTGAGTTTGTGTTGCTTTGCTCTGAGCTATTGGCAGAGCTGAAATCAGTTAGCACGGACGGCACTCGTCGACCGCGATAACAAACGTATTGTAGTCAGTTAAAAAGTTAAATACCTCTTCGATGTACAATTTTTCGTAATTAAATCGCAGTGCATGGGGTTAACCTGATATATTCCACAACAAAACTTAGGTTAGGAACAGTATTTATATAAGAGAAACGGGTTAAATGAAATTTTTCAGAAACCTGGATCTACGTATAGTAGTAAACATTCCTCAAATATAGATGAATAACTGCACAATACACGCATGTACATTCAAAAACAATTTACAGGACGAACTACTCGATACGACTAACCACAAGGCGCATGCGCAGCAGCTCGAGTTCAGCGCCTCTCGCGCCCCAGCCAGGAACTAGCAACGCATACTTCCACTCTCAAACATTCCAGATGCAAGTATACGTTGTACGTAATCCGATATAGTAAGACGAGTACCTATCAAGACAACGATTCGAGCACCGAGCAAGTCTTCAACTTTCGCCAATCGATGTCGCGGACTCGCGTTGCGATTTTAATGGCGGCCAGTGTTCATGAAAATAGTTAACGAGGGCGTCGATAGAATTTCGATGATCGAAATTCGCGATGCTCGCTAGTGAAGACGTTCGCACTCGGGCGTAATTGTAATCGTTAACAATGACTTGCAGCGGGACAAACGATTAATGGGCAGCGGAGGGGGCAGAGGGGGGCGCTGTAATTAACGTGCGATCGATTCGAAAATCGACAATGAAATTCAGCGCGCGTTGGTCCGTTTATCGTGAGGCGATTGTCATCCGCCAAATGCATACTGTCGATACGATTGTAATGCAGAAGCGTTTCGGTGTTACCTTTATCTGAATGGGCGAGAACGTTTAACCGATGTTTATAATTTCCGGTTGATGAGGGTTGCACACTGAATACGTTACGCTGTGCTATCTGCATTTCTTCGCGGTTTTTCCATTTCTGCGAGAGAATGGGAATATTCGAGATTGACATTTTATTTGAAGAAAGAAGAGTGAAGTTTCTGAACATTGTATTTGTTGTGAGAGATATTGGAAACGTGGAGATTATATTCAATTTATGGAATTCATATTACGCGATCTTTTTCTCTGGATTTAGGTTATTATTTAATTACAGGAACCGAATTTTTAAATTAATATATAAATAGGATTCAACCGTGAAGTTATTATTATATATATGTAGATATTATATTTATTTTATTTTAACGAGATTCATATGGAACGCTAATATTTTATATTTCTAGTATAGTATTTTTCGCGTAATTTATTGCATGCTATTATTTATCTCCAGATAGTATATAATTCAAAAATCACTGATTATTTTGTTACACTAGGATGCAATGTAATGCAATTAGTAATTATAATAATTCGATTTTTCTTATTTTGTAATAAACAAAATATGAAAATAATATTTACCAAAAGCAATAAAATAAGAAATAATTGAAACGAAAAAGTAAAAATCTGTAATGGAGATATAATAAAGCTGTAATAAAATACCTGTAATAAAATATCTTTGCAAAGTCTCTTAGAATATCCAAATGTAGTTTTTCAATACTTAATTAAATTTTGTGAAATATTAATAAATTTTTGAATATTGAATTTAATATAGAAATCTTAATGAATAACTAACCTAAAAATATTTAAATATAATTATGTAATTCGAATAAATACATTATCTTGAAATATTCGAACCTGTTTTGAAATTCCAATAATTATACAATCTCGAAATATTCAAACCTAATTTTGAAATTCTAATAACTACGCAATCTCGAAATATTCTAATCTGATTTTAAAATTCTAACAAAATAAATAATCTCTACCTTTGCCTGCTGAAATCTTAATAAAATAATCCGAATCTCTACCAAAGAAGTCCGAAATAATCCAATAATCGGAAAATCTTAGACAAGCCCACGAGCATCGTAAAGTTTCCATTTCAAGGGAAATCTGACGTAAAATAAAATGGCTGGAAGAGCTAAAATTTAATGCAGTCATCACGAAGATTATCGCTCCGGCACTATTGCTCGGCAAATATAGACAGCTGATGAGAAAGAGCTAGCGTGAAAATCTCTCCCCCAGTATTTCCCTTCCACGATCCTTCATTTCGCTAAAGCTATACGGACTACGAAATTTCCATTTGCACGAAGAGCGAAGATTCTAATTACCTCTTGTTCACGAGCAGTTCGTTCAAAGCGTTCGATACTGGCTCGTATGAAAGTTGACGGTAATCCAGCTTCACAGCCAGCCCCTTTTTCACGAAGTAGGCCATGTTCAAGTGCTGATCCCCAAACAGGGGTATGCCGAGAATCGGTACCCCGCAATAAACTGCCTCTTGAGACCCTAGCATTCCACCGTGTGTGATAAATAGCCGCACATTCGGGTGACCTGGTAAATTTCAAAAAAATATAGTTAAACATTTTGCTTCATTGCTACTATTTTTATTTTTTATTTTTTATTTTTCTCTTTTTTGGCTGGAGTTTGTGAGAATTATGTATGTTGAAATGACTGATAAATAGATATGTTCCACGTTTGAAGATTTATGTACATATGTATCTAATTGTAAGTATGTTATACGAGTTTTTTATATTGAACTTAGCATTTATCTGAATGGTGTCAGTTTGATTAGTTATCTTCGCAATTTTTGTTTTAATTTATGTTTAATAAATTTTGCCATGTCTCCCTATTTTGTTTTCTCAAAGGTTCCTTTTTCGTATTTTTACTCACCGGTTATATAACCGGTGGTTGTAGGTTTAGTGTTAAATTTACGTGTATATACCTGCCAGCAAACAACGAAGCACCATCTGTTGGCAAAATTCGATACTACTTATTGGCTAATTAAATACTTATAAAATTATTCGCTTTAGAAAGTTACAATCGATACATTCATTGATTATATTTAGTGGAGTAGACATCAATGGAAAATGCAAAAATTTGATGATACTTAGTGGTCAGTCGAAAATTTATAAAATTACTCATATTACAAAATCGTAACCGATATTTAAAAAATGTAATAATTAAGAAAATTAACAAATCCTAGTAAAAGAGAAAATTATTACGTATATACAATAAATACAATGGAATAATGGTTATGCGAATTTTAATTGTACAAATGATCTATTATCTAAATACAAAGTGAGTCACATATGTTTATTTAATTGAATTTAAATATTTAATTATATTTATATATATACTATATCTATATTTATAATTATATTTAAACTGGAAAACTGAAATTAGAAAAATTGGTATATAATATACCTAGATTCGAAGACAATACATCAATTATGCGAACTTTAATTATACAAAAGATCAATTATCCAAATACAAAGTGAGTCACATATGTTTATTTAATTGAATTTAAATATTTAATTATATTTATATATATTACATCTATATTTATAATTATATTTAAACTGAAAAACTGAAATTAGAAAATTTGGTATATAATGTACCTAGATTCGAAGACTATTGTGACATGAATCCTGAATAGATACAGACAAAAATAGTTAACAATATAAAATCATGAATAATTTTAAATTTCTAATTGATTTACAACATAATTAGCAATTTCTTTCTCTCAAACCGATTATCTGAACAGACTAGTCTGCTTTATTAATTCGAATAAGATTATTCTTCCAGTTAATCACCTATGAGAAATCTACAAAAATACACAAAATTGCAATTAACCAAATAAAAACTATTTTTTTCATTCCCTTTTCGCTTTTAATTATAACATATTTAACATCAACCCTGTTGATGATTTTCACCCTTTTCGTATCAGGTATTTGTGGTTTCTCTTTCCATTTAAGGGTTCGTATTATTACACGAACGTTTCTCGTTTTACATATTTTTCATCAGCATTCGAGCCTGTAATACAAAGCGTATGAAAACCGTATAACGTTTCAAAGAAATTTCACGTAAATACTCGACGAGTAAAGATCAATCGTGAACCCGGGCCAACAATTACCAAGAAATCGAACGGTGAACAAATTTGTCAACAACGCCTCGACTCCCGTTTGTGCATCTAAATCAATTACTTGAACAGCGATCGTTTGCATACAAAGCGATCTGATTGCTAACGGCATACGAAATGGAACATGCAGGTAACGCGTGTGCAAATTTGGATCCGTCCCAAGATTTAACCTAGACCTAGCCTAAATTTAACCCTGCCCTAATTCACACATTATTCCCGTAGTCCTATAACTTGCCCCGTATTTACGGCGTACTAAACCCCTGAATTGTGCGGAATTCTATAACGTTGCGTACGTGACGCGTATGTCAAGCGACATATGCGATATTAAAATACACCTCTACCTCGACAAACTTGGCTGATGGCTCGTAAACCGGATTTTATTCGCGACAGATAGATAGCTGGGTGAATTACAGCGAAAAGGGATCATTGATCGTTGGTAATTCGCTCGTTTTAAATTCTACGATTTTATTAGAACAAGGTAAGCTTAATATTGTAGGATACTAAAAATGGGTTCCATTTTCTCTTCGGTTCTCGGAGATAATGGTGAATATTATGAATAGATCAACTATCGCTGTATAGATCTAGGTTACAGTACTGTATATAGCCATCTATACAATACTATAATCATTGATACAATCTATTCACAGAATTCTAGAACCTATAGAAATTTTTAAATTGTATGGGTAGATTAACTATCGCTATACAGATTTAAATTACAGTACTGTATATAGCCATCTATACAGTACTATAACCGTTAACATAATCTATTCATAGAATTATAAAACCTATAGAAATTTTAGAATTGTAGAATTTTAGATTAACTATCGCTATACAGATCTAAATTACAGTACTGTATATAGCCATCTATACAGTACTATAACCGTTAACATAATCTATTCATAGAATTATAAAACCTATAGAAATTTTAGAATTGTAGAATTTTAGATTAACTATCGCTATACAGATCTAAATTACAGTACTTTATATAGCCATCTATACAGTACTATAATTGTTGATACAATCTATTCATAGAATTCTAAAACCTATAGAAATTTTAGAATTGTATGGATAGATCAACTATCGCTATACAGATCTAGATTACATTACTGTATATAGTCATCTATACAGTACTATAACGTTTGATACAATCTATTCATAGAATTCTAAAACCTATAGAAATTTTAGAATTGTATGGATAGATCAACTATCGCTATACAGATCTAGATTACATTACTGTATATAGTCATCTATACAGTACTATAACGTTTGATACAATCTATTCATAGAATTCTAAAACCTATAGAAATTTTAGAATTGTATGGATAGATCAACTATCGCTATACAGATCTAAATTACAGTACTGTATATAGTCATCTATACAGTACTATAACGTTTGATACAATCTATTCATAGAATTCTAGAACCTATAGAAATTTTAGAATTGTATGGATAGATCAACTATCGCTATACAGATCTAAATTACAGTACTGTATATAGCCATCTATACAGTACTATAACCGTTAACATAATCTATTCATAGAATTATAAAACCTATAGAAATTTTAGAATTGTAGAATTTTAGATTAACTATCGCTATACAGATCTAAATTACAGTACTATAATTGTTGATACAATCTATTCATAGAATTCTAAAACCTATAGAAATTTTAGAATTGTATGGATAGATCAGCTATCTGTGCAATACTGTTACGAGATCATATCCACCCGGTATTCGGCCAAGAAGAGCGGATCGTAACTTCAGTGCAGAACAATCCAGCACCTTCCAGAATGTTCGGTTTAAATAACAATCTGCTATTGACTATAAAAGGAACGTCTTGCATCGAAGTTTAGAGAGTGTTGTCAACCTTTTCAGTAAAGAAAATCTATTCTGACGTTTTAGAATTCTTCGGCAATCCAGCGATCGAACTTGAAGAATAAGAATTACACTCACGATTTGTAACAATACTCTAACAGAATTCTGACACCTATAGAAATTTTAGAATTGTATGGATAGATCAACTATCGCTATACAGATCTAGATTACAGTACTGTGTATAGCCATCTATACAGTACTCTATCGTTTGATACAATATATTCATAGAATTCTAAAATCTATAGAAATTTTACTGTGGATAGAAATGGACACCAATATCTTCTACGTTTTTTAACAGTTAACACGTTAGTATATTTAGATTTTCCATCAGGATGTCCCGTAATCGTTTTGATTTACTATTAGCAAAGTTGCATTTTATAAATAATATAGAACAGAGTAGCAGACTTGGAAAAGTTTTACATATTGACAGATAATTGCGAGAAATGTAAAAAAGACTGCAACCTATTGTTCCAATTGTTTAAAATCACTTCAAATGTGTGTAGACCGTTTCAACGAATACCATACGACATAGTATAATGTAATATTTTATCCTAAATATAAATTAATAAGAAGTATGGTAAGATCGGATTAATAAGTCGAAAGGAACTTTTAATTCTGATTATATTTTATATTTGTTGGTTGTATAAAATATACGGACGCTCGAAGCCTTCTAAGATGCGTGATGCACTGGTGGACTGTCAAAAATTATTTCGTCAAACCCTTCAGCTAGGTTTTTATGGGCCCTATGACGACCCATTGCGTCACTCAACCCTGCTTCAAGAATTGATAAGCTGGATGGTACCTCGGAGCAAAGATAGATCTCGATGCAGGGTGACGCCATCCAAATAAAAATTCCTCTCACACAAGTATAGTATAATGTGTATATTTTCAATATTTTAATTTTGTTAAGCCTTGGAATGCCGTGCCGGTATTTTGTTCAGCCCTTGATTAGAATAGACCCAGAAGACCGTTAGGGTCTTCTGGCAGCCAGATTCTAATTGCTGTTTTAGTTCAAGTTCCGTGTCCTTTCTATCTTCATTTTCAATGCATTTTCAAACAATTCTTTATTTCCCTCGGGTCACCGGACACGAGGCTTTCTTTAGCCATTAATGTTAGAAAGCAGGCAACAGCACTTAGGATTTGGCTGACAATAGGCCTGCAAAGAAAGGGACCAGGCCATGTGCGATGTCGCGACTTTCGAAGCCATAAAGTAACGGGTCCTTCGCGAAGGATCACGAATGTGCGGGTGGTCCACCAGCAACCCCCTTTGAGGGAGAGGCTTCCTTCACCGGCAGACCTGGTCGCGGAAGACGGTCCTCCCTTCTTTGGGGGCATGTGATTCGCGGACCGAGGGCCCACCCTCGGTCCTGTCAACCACCAATGGGAAAACCGATTTCCCTTTGGAAACCATGGGCTCCGAAAGATCGTGCATCGCACAAGTTAGTTTAGTCAGTACCAGACAGTCAGCAAATAACATTCAAAGAGATCAGAGGAGTTAACCGGAACAATTACAAAATATACAGTCCACTAAAAATACAA